ATTGTCCTGAATGTCACAGAAGGTAGACTTTACATCTGGCTTCTTATACGTAGCACACTGCATTTGACATTCATTCAATCCCTTGCATACACATATTGATAGTCCATTCCTTTTTATTGCTGGGCAGTATTTTATTGTGTGGATGTAACACGGTTTGTTTAGCCATTCACCAGCTGAAGATCATTTGGGTTATTTCCAGTTTGTTTGGGTTTTTTTTTTTTTTTTTCCTTCCTCTCTTTGGCAATTATGAGTAAAGCAGATGTAAAAATTTGTACACAGATTCTTAGAGGACATAAGTTTCACTTGAGTAAATGCCTAAGAGTGGGATTGCTGGGTTGTATGGTAAGTTTATGTTTAACTTTATAAGAATCTGCCACACTGGTTTCCAAAAAGGCTGTATCACTTTGCATTCCCACCAGCAATGCAAGAGACTCTCGGTTGCTTCATATCCCTTGCCAGAACTTGATATTGTCAGTTTTTGTTTCTATTCTCAATGTTAGCCATTCTAATAAGTGTGTAAAAGTATTGGATTGTGCTTTAATTTACTTTTTCCTAATGACTAAATGTCGAGCATTTTTTCATGTATTTGCCATATGTATAGTTTATTTAGTGAAGTGTATAGTTCTTTTGGTGACTGTTCAAATATTTTGTACATTTTCCTATTGGATGTTTGTTTTCTCATGAGTGAGTTTTGAGAATTGTTAATATATTCTTGAGAGTTCATTATATATTATATTTTCTACTAGCTTGACTCTTTGTCTTAACCTTTTCTTTTTTAAAACAACGTGTCTAGGGCCGGCCCGTGGCTCACTTTGGAGAGTGTGGTGCTAATAACACTGTCAAGCTAGGGCTGGGTCTGGAGCTCACAGATCCCTCAAGCCCATTGTCCAGACTGGGTCACAAACCCTTCACACACCAGGCTGGGTCCCCAGACCCCTCACATGCCAGGCTAGGTCACCAGACACCTCACACGCAGTTCTATGAGCGAGGTAACCAGCAAAAAGTGTCCTTGGAGCCATAGGTTTGAAAGCATGGCCACATGGGATGGACACCTGAGGCCAAGTGGCAGCACCGCCCATGCACACTAACTCTACCCACATGCAACTTGTTTACAAAGAATGTGCTGCACCACCCCCAACCAGACCCAAGGTGAGAGGACCTGATTAAATTATTCTATTTTCCCAACAAACACCAAGGCCATGGGTTTGGATCCTTATATAAGGATGGCTGGTTAGCTCACTTGGGAAAGCGTGGTGCTGACAACACCAAGTTAAGGGTTAAGATCCCTTTACCAGTCATCTTTTAAAAATTAAATGAATGGGGCCGGCCCGTGGCTCACTCGGTAGAGTGCGGTGCTGATAAAAATTAAATGAATGAATAAATAAATAAAAAGTGTCTTCCTCTGACTTTTCTAAGAAAGACAAAGTGATTTAAACAATGTAGGTATCTGAAGTGGAGAAACTCCCAGGGAGTGGACCTGGGCTTCCCCAGAGGCTCACCAATCTCATTGACCGGCAGCTTCTGCTTATGGCCAACAGCCCGATTCACTCAGGCTCTGACATTTTATGACGTTCTGCATCTGGGCGCCTCTAACTCTCCTCCCCCTGGCCTCTTCCTCCTGCCTGCAGAGATACCCTTCTCCTTTTAGCTCTCTCTGCACGGGTGGTCAGAGCTACATGGTCCCTTCTCCAAGTCAGGAGCTGCCCTGTCAGAGCACAAGGCGTGCTAGGGGAAGTGGCAGAAGTGGTAAAGGGACAGAGTGGGAGACGCTGAGAGGACGGAGAGGATGGGGAACTATCTGCTGAGGGAAACCTGGTGAGTCCACACTCCCTAAGGGGGAGTGGGGGAGGTGGACGGGGCAATGCAGCCAGAAAGAGAAAAGAGGGCTGCTTGTGGGGGTGGAGGGAACTGGCTGAAGAACCTGACAAAAGTCAGTGTCCACTGTGTGCAGACACCACCTTAAATTCCTTATAGGTTTTGCCATCTCCCAGAATCACAGTGAGCAGCTGGTGGAGAATGGCTGAAAGGTGGAGGGACTTTATCAAGGAGGGTCTAAACATAGGTGAAAAGGAACAAGTTCCTGAGGGCCTGCGGAGGGGACACTCTCCTGAGCCCTTAACGCTCCGGAAGGAGCTCAAAGACACCACAACCCTTTTAGACACTATTTTAAGTTCAAAGTAAATAGCAAGTTTCCTGCCACTATGAAGTTTCATTTAGTGCACAGTCCCATGCATTTCAAAGCAGGTAAGCAGAGGTCATCTAAATAGGTAGTTGGCTTATCTTTTCCTGACCACAATTCTTCATTTTAAATGGAAGTAGTAATACAATACCTACCTTGGAAGGTGTTCATGTATGTATGGTGCTAGCATAAGGACTGACATATTAGGGTTCAATAATTAGGAGATATTCTCTTTTTTTTTTTTTTTTTGACTATCATTTTCATTAACATCAAAGCAGCCATTGTAAAAATTAGTAGCAACCAAAAACAAGGGACTCTATAGGGTATAAAGTGAGGTGGTCTAGGAAGAGTGGGCTGGCTGAAGGGGTCTTTACAGGATTCCGCTTGGAGTCCCAGATCTCAGTTCATGCCACTGGAAAGAAGAATACAAGGAAAGGAGGTGACGCAAAATGCCACTTTCCAAAAGGGAGCGTGGTTATCCTATGAAATGTCTCGTGTCCCTTCCCAAGAATCAGTGTTGTCTGAGACTTCTCCCTCACGGCCCTCATGGTCAATCTTCTACTCCAGCATTGTTCTATCAGATTATAAATCACTATTTTTATGTGGAGATGTGAGCTCCTCAAATGAAGGGATTGTTTCTTACTCATCTTTGAAGTGGTTCCTGGCATTGTTTCTGGCACATAATACGTACTCAATAAGTGTTAAATAAATGGTTGGGAACATAAAGAAATAACTGTCCTGAGAATATAAAACAAAATACAGAATGATGTGAGTGAATAAGTAGTGACTGCTGTCACATACGTCATTTGTTGGGAACATAAAGAAATAACTGTCCTGAGAATAAAAATAAAACAAAATACAGAATGATGTGAGTGAATAAGTAGTGACTGCTGTCACATACGTCATTTTGTTTTTTACAACACTGGTGTGGGGGTGAAGAATTATAACATTAATATGTATTTATTGTAAAAACAGAAAATACAGAAAGTATAAACAAGAAAATAAACTGGTAATTGCGGTTATAACTACTGATTACATTGAATG